AATTTAATAATTTGTAGAGAACCAAATATGCAGTTATATTAACTTTTTATTTAGCAATTTTATAGCCTTCTGTTTATATCATGACACTTTTGGGTCTTTTCTTGTATGAAATAGCTGTTACATGTGAAAACTCTTTGTCTTGATACAGTGACTTCTTCTGTTTGGTTCTATTTATTAATCTCAAACTAACATGTCATTTATAAAACTTTTCCATTAAAATATAAAACTGACTGTTTTCCTTGATGTTTCTGACAGAAGAGAAAATTGAGTTTTAACACATATTTGAAAAGCTGACTTTGTAACTCTGTTGTGGTGTCTCATCACTCAGACAGCTTCTGATACAGATTTTGAAGTATAATAGGACCTGAGAATTTAGAGGAGGGGTTTAATCCACAGGGCACCCTGATGAAGCCTTCTCTCATAAATGTTTTGTGATTTCTCAATTGATGAGGAACATCTTGGTGATTTCTTTCTGCAGATCCTATCCAGCATTGCTGATCACCGCCTTTTGCTTTGCTACTGCTTCTCCTTAAGCTCCTTGTGAAACATTAATGCTACAGCTGCACTATTTTTAATGTTCAGGGGCTCCAATTGTGCTGCACATCTGGTTGACCCCTCTAGGTGAAGAAGCTCAGAATTCAAACAGATTAGTTCACCTGAAGTTTTTGCTGTTCTTAATACAAAAGGGCTTGAGCATGGCTGGAAGAGAAAGTTCACCCTGAGTGACTTTATTGCATCCCCATCTTGCAGCTTAGTACCTTCTTGTGCTCTGCAGGAAGTGAGAAATGGGAAATGTTTGGAAGACTTAGTGAAAGAAAGAGGTAAAAACCCAAGACTTCATTAAGTGAAGTGCTACTGTCCCACTAGAGCATTTTACTGCTACTCCTGGTCTCCTGAATCATGCACTTTGCATTACAAGATTGTCAGTGATAATGATGACTAAATAACAAAGTGCTCCCTTGCCAACAGTAATAAGAAATATCGTGTATTCTTTTCCAAGCCTTGTTATGATTAGAAAATGTTATTTCCCATCAACTTTGATAGATTTTTATAAGTTCTCATGGAAATATTTCACTCAAGTGGACATAGCTTTCATCACAAGCATACACCTAGTATCTAAGTTGCTGAAACACACCCTCCTCTTTTATTTGCAAGAAAGGTTTGGGTTTTCATTCCACTTCTATGTTACTCATTTAAAAAAGTATCACACAACAATTTATTATGGACAGTCCCAAACTTTGTTGTCTTAGCTGTCAGAAGTAGTGGAAGTGCAGCCTCTCCCAGCTTGGTAGGGAACTGGTATGATAGCAAACCCCAGAGGACCTCAGTCACATCATACCCCAGCTGCAGCCTCGAGCTCCTCTGCCCTACTAAATTGATATATCTGACTTCTAGCAGTGAGAGATGTTGAGCCAGCTAATTTCAGGAACCTCTCCCTTCCCTCTAGTTTCAGTTTTTTAGGCTGTTTTTAGAGGAATCTGAAAATGGTTACTCAATTAGAAATTCATGTGGGAAAATTCTTGTTGAGAAAAACAGCCTCCTTATAATAAAAATGTTTCTGGCGTAACATTTTCAAGTACTCACGTGCACATAACTCCAAGTGAAACCATCTTTCACAGAATCTAGGCTAGTTTGGTGGCCACTGATGGATACAGAGATTTTGGATTTAGGCAAACATCAACAGTATGGGCTCTTCATATCTGTGCAAAATCAGCCTGTAAATGTGCACAGGTGCCTGTCCCCTTTATTACGATGTGTTCTGTCAAATCAATTACCTGAATCACAGCCTGTGTTAGAGATTGCCTTTTCATTTGCACAGAGCTAAAAACTTTGTGGCCTTCCCTGCTTCTTGGGGGCTCTGCTGGGTGAATACTAGACATAAGAACAGCAGCACTCAGGTGCTTCCTCTATTCAGTCCATATTGCTCATGGTGTATAGAAAACAGATCTTAATATGTTTCCTCTGCCATGATCATGAATTATTAGGTTTTTAACTACTGCCTGTCTTGACTGCAAGGTGTTATAATTTAGAAGAGAGTAGCAATTTGAGGAGGAAAGACATGCCTCCTACCTCTTTCTTTTCTTTCTCTCCCCCCGCACCACCCCTGCTAATGTATTCTGTGGGCTTTGGGGATGAGACAAATTACTCTGTGTTGGTGACAAGAGCAAAATAAATGAGCCTTAGCTGTGCAGGAAGGTGTCTCTGCATAGCCTGATGGTGAAAGCACTTCTTAGTGGGAAAGGGATGGTACTGTATGCTTGGCATCCTGCTTCCAGGGTTCCTTCAGTGGTTTCATGCTGTCACTGTATATAAAATAGAGTTAACCCTGCAGACAAGAAATGCTAACAACTCTCCCAGTTTTGTATAAATGCCATAAGCAATAGACTGTGCCCTCCTGTTTCTGCTTGGACTCTCTTTTTGACTCGTGAAAGAAAATTTTTTTTTTTTGCCTATGACACAGCTTCAAAGAGAAGCTCTTTCCCTTGGTATCCTAATGTATAGGAAGTGGGAGGAGAGGAATGAGTAACTCAATAGGCAGCAGGAGAGGAAATGGAAATTTATTTATCTATGTTTGTGGTGGGTAATTCTTGGAAAAAAAGACTTTATGTGTAACTCTGTCTATGGTGAATATACACATGTTCCCCCTCATCTTTGCTAATATACTTGTGGCCACTGAGCTATTTTGTGGGAGCCTAGACCTGCTTGATTCAGAAGTTGCTTGGCAGATATCAGGGAGATGCAGGCTTTTATCTGATCCAGTTTAGGCATGAGCTGAACACCAAGGCTTTCAGCTTTTTGTCTGGTAGAAAAGTGCAGTGGTTGTGCTCCTTTATGTTCTAGTATTAAGTTTTTCAGACATTTAAGGTGATGATTTGAAAATTTATCCCGAGGGTCAGTTTAAGAATGGACAGATACTAACCAGCTTCATTCATATCTGTGCTGCAGGCTTTTGTCTGTCAGATAGCTCTAGGTGTTTCAAAGCTACATCAAATGCATAATGGCCTCCATGACCCACCATGGTGAATTTCCTCAATACCCACTCTGGGCAGGCTCTCTGCTCCTGACACCAGCACGTTCTTGTGCCTGGGGAAGTAGCCAGGCAGTGACAATGTGGATGTTAGTGAGCCATTAGAGTTTTCTGTCACATTAACCAGGGTTATTGTGATGGGTGGTCTTCCCAAAGAGTGGGTAACTCATGGCCAAGGGCTGTTTTGAGTAGGTAAGTGTATAGTTTGCACACAGCTGCCCTGTTTCAGAGCCAAGGACACTTCAATGCTGACAATGCTAAGCCAGCTGCCTTCAGTGCTGGGAGTGTGATAGGACACCCTTAATTTATTGGTGCAGGTGAAGACCAAAGCTGCAGGAGAGTTTTAGTGAATGTCAGGGCAGAGGTGGCACTAAGCAAGTCCTAGATTTGACAGCTCCAGCCTCTGCTTGCTTGCTAATGTCAGGGCTCCAGGAAGAAGACACATTTTCTCTTAAAACTGGTGGTCTGTGAATTTTTTAGCTGTTTTGCTCACCCAGAAGATTTCCACTTGTAATGGGAATACAAAAGTCTTTGGCTCTGGTCATGGATATCATATATACCTTCCTGTGTCATACAGAACTCAGTATGTTGTTGCTAGACCATAAACTCTAAGTTCTGCCTGTGCCAAAGAGCTTCCAAAGCTCTTTATTTATCATCTTGCACATGGGATTTGGGGGATTCTTGTATTGCACTGTGTGATTTTCATTTATATATGCTGGACCAGATGTTTAGCTGATAAAAGTCAGTGTAACTTCACTGATTGCAAAGGATTTGCACCAAGATCATGATTCAACTTTTATACATCTCATTGTTTATCATATTTATTAACCTCAGTATAGAGAATATAGTTTTCACGTCTGCTGTAAGGGAGGGGTTTTGTACAGAAAAATGGATTCTGCTCTCAGTGACACCTAGCCTCATCTTACAGGTGAAGATTGAATCTGGCTATAATATGTAAAATGAAATGGTTATGTGAAATACCCACATACTTTGGTTGGTATTCATAGAGCCATGCTTGCTCCATCTGTCTCAGTTATAAATATTGTAAGTGCACATTTCAGTAAATTTTAGGGTTTGTAACAATGTAGTAAAATCAAGTAGATGTTAATAAATTCTAGCAAGCACAGAAACTCAGTTTCTTCTCAGTAGGTTTCTATTTAACTGCTCAAGAATATCTTGCTACAGCTGCAAAAATATTGAACTAAGTTTAAACTCCAGCAAATATGCTAAGAAAGTTGATTTTTCTGTGTTTAGAACAGTGGATTGGATTGTCAAAAATGAGTAGCAAATGTGTTTGCAGAAGAATTTTATATCTGGCTTTTTGTTTTTCTTTTTTGCCTAATGTTCAGAAACGTGGAATTACCTAAAGAGCCACATGCTGATTCAAAGATGAAGGCTGGTGCTTCTTAGCTTCCTCCTTTTCCACACCCAACTAAATCCCAAAATGCCATGAGGACAGTGGGAAGAGAGCTATTGGGCTGCCACCATTTTTTTCTGATTTGTAGTTGCCCAAAAGTAACATAGCAGCTTTTGAAGGGCACAGATGGCTCATTTGGCTGTTGGTTTTGGAGCAGTTTGCTCTGAGGTCTTCCAACATTTTCTGCTGCCTTTCAGCCCCTGAGCCTATGTCTGTGCCTCAGGTAATGAGGAGCTCCCAGCAGTCTTCCTGAATTCCTGCATTAAGGAACTCCTGGGATCACAGTGGCCACGTCTGGGACTTGTCTGAGCCTGCTCCGTCCTTTTGGGCTTTTAGGAACAGATTGGGGAACTTGCAGTCGAGTCTAGTTGAGAGTAAATCTTAGGAAACAAAGACATGGGGAAGGGAGGAGCATGATGGTATTTCAGGAACAAGAGCAAGGTTTGCATAACTTTGCTCACTCACTGGCGAAGCCCGGTGCAAATAAGAAAACACCAAGTGTTCTGTCCAACCCATAATTAAAAAGTGGATGTTCTGTTATGTGTTTTCTTACAGATGGCAGCACTAGAGAGACAAATCTTTGACTTCCTGGGTTTCCAGTGGGCTCCTATCCTTGGCAATTTCCTACAAATAATAGTTGTCATTTTGGGTTTGTTTGGAACCATCCAGTTTAGGCCTCGATATATAGTCGTGGTAAGTCTCATTTATTATATTTTTTCTGTTTGTTTTTTGCCATAAAACTTGTTATATTACAAAGCAGAATTTTCTTGCTTTCAAAACACTAAGTGGTATTTCTGTGGAAATGGTAGAAGTCTCCATGTCTGCAAATTTAGGACTACTAAGTGAATTTTTTGAGATTTTGAACATTATCAAAAACAGGTAACCTGGAGAAAGTGCTGTCAAAACTATTATTATGGTACAAGTCAATTAGACTCTATGTAAATAAATAAATAAAGTACAAATTGTTGTTCTTTTTGTAACAGACAAGGAGAATTGATGGCGATTTAAAAAAATATTTGCAATGTCCAAGTTATATTTACCTACATCTTTCTCTTAAGCAGAGAGGAACAAGAATTGTAGAAATTTCTTTGGTCCTGTGACCCATGGGTTACAAAGAAGTCTCCTTCTCACTTACATGTAATTTTGTCAAGACCTGTATTTATGGCTTTGACCCTAAGTTATTGTAAATTCCCTGTGATGCTTGTAGCTTGAAGCTTCTCAGTTGGTTTTTTTTCCCCATGTTCTCAATACAGCCAGGATTAAAAAGAAATTTCAAAGCTGTGAAGTAAAGTGCCAACAAAAAAAAAATTTCTGTTCCTCCCCCACGTTCATTTTTGAATGTAAGAATATTATGTCTTTACCTGGTAATGGCTGTATTTGGAACATTTTGGTTGTGTTGTCAGTAATGGATTTTAAGAGGCTAAAGTTATCTTTCTTTTTCCTCACAAAGGAATGAAATAAATGTCTGCTGGGGAAAACTTGTTGAATGCTTAAAAAGCATCTTTTCTAGTCAAGCCTGGAATCTTGTAATTCTTTGTCACATCTTAAAAAGTGAACAAAAAATACATCCAAGATTTTACTCATGTTAGCTAAGCTTACAAGCAGACTATAATGAATTGAAAATGGATTGATATTAAAAAATAGCACTTTTATCTATTATTTGTGGTTGAAGAACTGCTCATCCATATATTGGTGACTCACCTTTCTGTTTCATGCTCTCCATTTTATACATAAGAAACAAGTGTAAGCATCTGTAAAATTATGTGGGAAATTCATGTCTGAAGTGCAACACTACAAAATTTCTTGCCCCTCAGGTTCAGCACTGCTGTTCAATGATGCAAGCTCTGTTTTAATTTTCAAGTGAAATGCAACAGATGTTGACTGTTTCTATATATTTTCCAATGTAATTGAACATTTTAGGGTACACTAAAGTTGTTTTAGAGGTAGAATCATAATTAAAGAAAGAAACACGTCTCCAGAAAGATACTTTATGCTGATTTAGCTGAATTCATATTCTGATTTAACTTTAAGCATATTTAGGAATTCTAGCTTCAGCAGGTGCCAATACTCATTACTGGGAAAGATCAAGGCTTTAGAGCCCAGCTGGTCAGAGCATGGTGCTAATAATGCTGTGGGTCACAGGTGTGATCCCTGTATAGGCCATTCACTTAAGAGCTGGACTTGATGGTTCTTGTGGGTCCCTTCCAGCTCAGAATGTTTTGTGATTACTCACTTACTCCTCTCATCACCACCTCTTTGAGTGATCTGTGATTATACATAGGATTTACAGTGAAGTAGGAATAGTTTGGGCCAAACCCTGAAGTCTGAAGGGTGTCTGTAACACAACGTGTCTGCAGCTGACCTCACAATCAACACCAGTGGAATGGGGTGGCTGCCATGTCTTCCTGTTCCCTGACTGAACACTTCCCCACATCCTCTTTCCCACTTCTGGCAGGAGTTAACTGGACCTGTCACTATGTCAGTTCCATTTTTAAGCTGTGAGAAAACCAACCTAGCAAAAAGTGGAGATTTTTTTGCTAAACTGGTGACCTGAATCCATTCTGTGAGGTTCCAATGGTTGCCAAGGTTGGCATAGGGCAGGGATTGGGACTTTGTATTTATGAACATCAATGTGGAGGTGGAGGGGAAAGGAATCGTTGCAAGACTTCTCTTGTTGCTAGCTCCAAATCTGTCAGCTCAGTCTCATGCCTAGCCAGCATAAGCAATCCTCCCTTTGCTCTGCTGCTGCCTTCAGTCCCTGTGCTTTTCCTGTGTGTGCACCAGCACAGGTACCAGTTCAATCACTTGGTAAACTGTCAAACCAGAACAGATCCAGGTTAAAGGAAACCATTTCCTTTACTGGTGTTAATTTAAGGTAGGTCAACTCTTTGACGTGTTCTGCTTGTTCCAGCAGATGGGAGAGGGGAAATTGGAACAAGTAGCCAGAGGAAGGAGAAAAGTGCATGGAGTCTTTCTACAGCAGTGCAGGGTTACACCAGCTTGAAGTTCTTGTTGAGCATAGCCTGAGGACCTTCCAGTCTATATCAACACATGCTGCCCAGAAGCTGGGCTTCCTAGGGCTGTGCCAGCCACAGTTTAGCTTTGGCAACTGTCCCCAGAAGCTCCAGAAGGAGTCAGTGATAGTGACAGTAAAGACGCCTACCAGTGCCAGCTGTATGCTGGCTGTATTTACCAAGGCAAAAGTGACAGTTCACCTGTAAACTTTCACTGCTGACATTAAATTTAAAGTCCATTTAATGCAAATCTTCAGTAGTGTCCTGAATTTCAGTATTAAGCACAATGCAGAGAGGTTCTTACCAAGGCTCTGAGTAGTGAATTAGGCTTTAAATTTATGGAGAAGCTTCATGGCCTTCCATGTTCATAGGTCCACTTTCAGCCACATCTAAGCCCCTGGATTTGTTAGTGGCTGGTATCCAAGAATTTGGTACTGTGTCTGAAGAAATATTTTGAGTCATGCTTTCATGTACTCTTGTTAATGAAGCTCCTGATTTAGATTAAGTTTATTCCAGTTTAACTGGAAATGTAACTAACTGCTTCAAGAAAATTATGCTTAGTATCCATTGTCTTTTCCAGAAGACTTCCCTGGAAATCAGCGTAACTAATGCAGATGATCCCATCACAATATTAAAAAGCTGAAGTAAAGAGAGAATCATGTCAGATACAATGATTTACTTCTGTTAACTGACTCCATAAAATTAATCTGGCATGTGTGCACACAAATTGTCCTCATGATAATCTGTCATACTCTGGTGGTGATCTTGACTTCAGCTGACCAGCTCTAGAGCCATTGTTTAACCTCAAGAGAATGTTTTTGATCTATCTTCTGTGCAATGAAATCTGTGCCTGAAGGATTCCCTGACAAGTGAAGTTACACAAAAGCTTTCACTTTGTCATCCTATGCTGCGTGTGTCATGTTCAGTCTCCTCAAATTTTAAAATATGTAAGGAGTGGGAAAGTAAGTGAATAAATGTAATACATGTAGGGCCATAATTTGAAGCATATCTGTACTGTAGTTAAATATGAAACTGCTTCTGTAGGCACAATTGAGCAGGCTTTGGTTGCAGGTATGTAGAGCCAAAGAGTTCAGTGAGGGCTGCAGTAGAAACTGATAAAAACAGTTGCAGTTGCATGCTTCTGACTCTTCCCCTGCCATTGAACCCAGGCTGGCCAGTTTATCACTAGGCTATAGTGACCACATAAACTGCACCATAAGCATAGCCATTGTAGATTAAAAGTCTGCAATAAAGAAATTAGTTTGAGTGATATAAAATTTATCATGAGAGCTTTCTACAAAAAAAAAAATCAACAAACCAAAACACCAAAAAAAAAACCCAAACCCCCCAAAACCCCCCCACTATCTAAGATCTTCCACGCAGTGGCTGACACATGAGATATCTCTGTTGAATAGAATTCTTATTCCAAGTAGTTAAAGACAGTGGTTCATGTTCACTGTCTACAGTCCCTCAGATACAGAACAGTATGGATAGTGATTCTGAAATCTGGAATTTCTTGCTCAGACTTAAAATTCCAAGTCCTCAGTGCTTAGGAAACAGAGAGAGAGGGAGTGACGACATTAACTCCAAGTGTCCTAATTAGTTTAAATCCAATGATTATTTATAATAGGTTTTGTATTAATTAGTAATTTAGATAAATGTTGTGAACAATTTGTCCTATCACTAAGTGGATGTGCTATTTTCAGCATTTGAATATTTTTTGACTGAATTAAATCTGTGCGAAGTTCCCAGGGGGCACAAAAGTGCAGAGCTGATTCCCAATTTTCCCATATTAGCTCATTTGAAACTTACCCAAACATTTACAGAGAAGAAAGAAACAGCTGAATTTCAGTTCTAGATATGCTGTTGCACTCTTGTCATGAAGCTGCAGAGCTTTGCTGTGATCCGTTTCATTGTTCATGCTTTTCCTTTCTTAATAGATCTTGCTATTACCAGCAAGATTTTCAGGCTGTTAAAACTGATTAATGATGATGACAGGATACTTGTTAAAGTTGGGGATTTTCTCCCTCTGCTACTTCTGATTTGGGACTTCAAAAGGCTTCTGAATGATGAGTCATATAGCTAAAATTGCAAAAGCCGGGCTCAAAGCTGAAAAAAAAGTTTTAATAAATAGTGAGGAATGAAAATAATACACTTAAATAGGGACAATCTATGGTAGAAATCTCGGCTTTACTTGCCTTAATATATTTCATTAAATAATATTATATATAGGCAATGGATATAGTTGAAAAGCCGAGAAAGAGTGTCTTAAAAAAAACCCACAAACAAACAAAAAGCCAGAACAGCAGAAGAAAGTCTGTATAGGATACTTTATTCAGTATTCAAGCAAATGTTACACAGACAGTGAAAACACATATGAAATATTTAGGCTTCCAAAATTACTCATTGAATATCCTTCCTGGGAAGTCCTGTGTTGTTACTGCTCCATCGTGCTGATTTATGTCACTTCCCTTGCCATCTTTCATAAATATGGCTAATAAGGCTCTGCAAGTACTGATGCCAGGTATTACAGGGGGATAATTTGATGACTCACTAGTTGCTCCTTTTCCTTTTAAATATCCCTGAGCCAACATTCATTCCCTGTAATGCCATGAATGACACTGTCAGAGTAGCTGCTGCACTTCAGATTTAAATATACTCTTGAGATAGTTTATTCATTAAAGCTAGACTTATCCCACAATCCTTGTAATAGTCAAACTTAGAAAATTCTTTTTTCTTTTACCTTAACCAGTTGTTCTTGTGACATTGTGTCCATCCAATGCAAGTGTTTTAACTCTAGATATGTTTGTATTTCACTGATATATGAAATATATCTGCATTGGTTTCAATAAGATTGTAGAGTCAAGAAGTACAGAAATCTCACTGTTGTAGAGAGGGTGACATTATGAAAGGGGATATTTATTGGATGTTTAACGTGTAAGGTTTAGTGAGTACTCCCTCCACATTATTGATAAGGCTTCAAATACTTCCTCACACTGCATCGTGTACAATTCTTAGTGCAAAAGACCAAAAGAAAGAAAAGATGTAGTGCATCATGGAGAGAAATAAGCAAAGATTGTGACCTGGTCCTAAGTCTTTCCCTAGAAGGGGTCTGTTACAAAAATGTCCAGATGATTTTTCAGTGGTGCATCATTTGGGGTATAAAATAAAAATCCCAACTCTTCTTATTGATTCGACCTGTGTGGAAAATTCTTTCTTTATGCCAGGTGTGGTGAGGGTTGTGACACTGAGTATGAGGCCAGCTGAGCTGGGGTGGACAGAATGTGGGTGGCCAAAGAATTAGGCAGGAATTGCTGGGGAAGCAAGAGTGAGCAGACCCAGTAGGATGGATAATGTTCAGGACATGGAGTGGGAGAGGTTAAATGGCAGGTCAGATCATGAAACAGGATAGGTGCCTTGGGAAGGAAGTGAAACCTGAGGGCCAGTGTGGACCTGATGTCTCAGACCTTAACCATTCCTCCATTGAGAGAAAATTGCCAGCATGCATGGTGTGTCCCTTCACACAGAAGACGGCAACTTACGATGTTGCTCTGCTAGCAAAAATAAGAAATTTGTGTCATGGGTCTAAAAGTTACACCCTTAATGACTCAAGCAGGTGTTAGTGTGATGCTACATAATGGAATATGCTTGATGGGGTTTTTTAAACTAAAATCTATATACATATAAATTTACACAATGCATATAAAGTCAGAAAGCATTTTTAAGAAAGAAGCACTCAAAATTTTAGAAAAATTGCTATTAAAGCCCTTCTGTGCAGTCTTACTATGATTCTTTTATATATTTGCAAAATTGAACTAGGTACCTACTAATTCTTATATTGTTGTTCAGTAGAAAGGAAAGATATTGGGGGGTTTCTGGTGATCACAGATGTAGAATAGTAACCTGTTTTAAGAAAACAGAGCACAATGAGAAGAGAGAGAAGCTACCAAGAAAAAAAGGGCTGCTTTTGCTGTGAAGGCTGTGTTCAGTAGCTGAGTTTTATCTCTGCTCTCAACCACTGAAACCTATTTTGACACAAAGTGAGTCACTTTAACAAAACCTGTCACCTGTCACATGCTTTGTTTTCTCCTTGCATTCTGGATTCTTGTCTTGAGACCTTGTGGTCTGATTTGCACAAGTGCTGCATGTTCAGCCACAGGGAGCTGAACACTGAGTTTGTAAACCGAGTGCATAATCTCAAGCATTCTGGAAAATGAACTCTTAAGGGCCTCCAGTTGGATGCTTATAATGTATGAATACTTCTGAATGTAATCTCTGTATGTATCAGAACATCATTTGCATTCTGAGAGCTGTATCATTCCCTTATAACATGAAATAAATTAGTTAATGTTTGTGCAGCTCTCACACATTACAGCAATGAGCATCTTAGTAAACCTCATGAGGGAGTTATTATTCTGTCCTCAGAGCAGGGCCTGAGCCACAAGGAGAAAAGAAGTATTGAGCTAGCTGTTCATAGAATGTGTTAGGGGAGCTAAGATCCTTTAAAATAAAAATACATCTATGATGGCATTATTAATGTTTGAATTGTATTGCACAGCCACAAAACAGAAAAATTAAATTGGCATGCAAAGCCCAAATTCTGACATTTCCTAATTTTGCTTTCTTGCCTTTGCTGTCTTATAACCTTTCCTTAAGTACCTACAAAACTATGCAAGGAAAGAATTTGCTCCTTGGATATCCAAGAAGATAATAACTTTCCTACTTAGAAAAACGATATAGTGCTAATTACTGAATATAATGTAATTATTAAGTTTATAAAGCAACTGGAGCTCAAATTCAGATTTCTGCAGCTCTGAGAGTGCAGGAAGAGCCTCTCCATGCACAGCAGCTGGCTTTCAAGGTGCACACCTGCTTTGCACCTGCAGTTCTCTTTCAGTAATCCTCATGGTGGGTCAGGAACCAAACTGGTCCTAACTATGTAAAACAGCATAGCCTGGCCTGGGAAAGCAGGCTCAGTTTTTGCCTGCACAGTTCAGCATTGGTGCCCACGGGCCAGAATGAGGTTATTAATGGATTTGTCTTGGCCTGGCAGATCAAATAGAATTCCTTTTGTTGTGGTGACAGATTTAGTTCACAGAGAGATAAAAAATTCTTTATTAAAAAGAACACTCCCAAATAGTCTCAATTCTGCTTTTTACGTGCAACTGGGGTTGCATGTGTTGTTCATTAATTTTGACCTCTCTGCACGTAATGTTCTGAATATAAATGTGAGAAAATCGGTAATTGATGATGGCATCAAGTTACTACAAAGTCAACAAAGTTAGTAAAATGTGATATACTCTAGGTTAGTCATATGAACAGTACAGACCTCATATTGCTCACAGACCACAGCAGCTTTGTCTGTTTTATAATAACCCAGCTTTCAGTTGCCACACTGCCCTTCTCTGTAACACAGAGGAAATGGCCCAGGAGTGTTACTCTTGTTGGCTCTTAATGGTTTGGTTCCTACTTCTTGGGCCATTGCCCAACTGCCTACCTTCCTCAGAAGAAATTAGATTAAAGCAGTTGACCTTTTTGGACAGAAATGGCCTTATGCAGGATTGAGTAATAAAGGAGGCAGAAAATTCAATCCTCTTTACCTAAACCTTTCATTATACATTACAGGGAAAGGAACTCAGAGGGGAACAAAACCCAAAACTGCCCAAGAAAGCCAAACTGCTGGCACCTGTGCAATGCATTGTAGATCAGTATGTGAAACTGTAATGGTTATATTGAAGCAAAACAATTGATAGTAACCTTCATCTAGCCACAGCTAAGTAGGCTTACTTGCCAAAGCTCTTAGCAGGAGTTCTCCACTGTGAAGGCTCTGCGTGTGCCAATGTAAAGTGGCAGTGCTGCTGCTCACTGCATTTGTTCCAGTGGCTGTAGCTCCAGGATGTCCAGCTGCCTGGACACTTGGCCCATCAGGGTGAAATGCTGCTGAGGTGGAGTGCCTGGAGAGTTCATTGGGATAGTGTACAGCTGTATGTCAGTGAACAGTGCATCTGTGAAGAAATGGTGCCAGTCTGTTGTGCTGACAGTTAAAATGCAAAAGATGATTTAAAGTGGATGTATTAATGTCCCGTTCATGCTGTGGGTGGTGTATGAGTTCAGTGCCATGCTGGGGAGAGCAGAAGAGGTATGGATATGTTCAACTGTGAAGTGTGCTTTGTAGGATCAGATTAATGGCAAAAGGTTTGGAGAAGTAGTGAGCTAATTTTAATGTAATAAAGTGTTTTACTGTGATCGGGTTTACACTTTACCTATTTGTTTAAAAAGAAAAAAATCTAGATTAACAGATCAATAGATCTTCTGTTTTGTTTGGTGATGGGGTTTTTTCTTGCACCTTTCTTCATAATATTTAAATGTTATTTCAATAATATTTACTTATTTAAGGTATTTTGCTTTTCGGAAATTTCCTTAAGAGAGCTAAATTATGATTTAAAAATTACTCAGAGTTGTCTCAAAACCAGTGTTTCAGCCAGCATTTTGAATTTAATTGATATCAGTGGGGTAGTATAAATCTGTAAAGAATAAATCTGTTTTATTGGTATTTATTTAGTACAGCAATGAATATTGACTTTGTAATTTCCGGTGGTTCTTAGGGGACTTCTGCAGGGGGAGCTCCTTTTCTGAACTCTCTGTTCTTAGCTGTTCCCAGAAGAACAGTGTTTATTGACATCAGTTTTTTATTATTGATCTGCTCAGTATGAAGTAGCTTCATCTTCACGTTTTATTTTTCTCTCTCTTTTGCTCTCCTCCGGCTTTGTGTTCAGTACACGGTGTGGACTGCCCTGTGGGTCACCTGGAATGTTTTCATTATCTGCTTCTATTTGGAAGTAGGCGGGCTCTCTAAGGTAGGTCACTTATCCTTCTTCAGGTTTATGAGAGGGTGTTTCAACAGCAGGACTCTCAGATTTTAGAAGACTGGAACTGCAGAGGAAAAATGTGCTTCTTTGAACATACAATTTGATCTTCAGAGTTTCCTTCCAACAAGAACTGTAATGTTTGAACTTATCCCTGCTAGTAAATAGCCCCAGGTCTGAAGTACATAAATGCAATGAATCTGAATTGCATTTGCTTTCCGAAGTACCATCCCAAGGTGAGAGGTGGGAAGGTATTCAGTTGTAAATTTGAGGTCCTTTCTGATTGTTGAAAAGCAGGCCGTGTCATTTTGGTTGAATTTTCAAGAATGTGTAAAAAGTGTGAATTTCCAAGACTGCTTTGAGAGAAAATTACTAAGAAGGTTAATGTAATAACTTGTTGAGCAAATTGATCTCACAGTGAGAATGTTAATTCTGTATAAAAAAGAATAAATGGCAAAGCATGAATTTTGTCACATTTGAATAAAACTTCCCTTTATATGACACTCCGTGCTCTAGGTCACCAATTCTTTATCCAGTCCTCTGATTAGAGCAGAAATGTTTGCTGGAATTACCAAGAGACGTGCTCTGGTTCAAGGTAGCACTTAGTTAGCATAGGTTGTGTTTAGCATTGTGTCTGCAGGGAGTTTCAGGCACCACCTGCTGGTTTTTATCCTCCGGCTAGACACAGATGATACAGATCTTGGTTTACCACATTTACCACATTTAAATGATTCCAGGCACAGCCTGCCCGTGGCACATGCTGGTCCCGGCATTATTGCTAGAATAAATGCCACTGTTACTGGTTGTAGATTTAGTGATATGAACTGCATCACTGTTAATTCATGCAATGCTTTTAGAGAATGCAGTCCTGTGCCATGTGCTCTGGGAAGACGCTGCTTGGGCAGGGAGGTTGGACCAGATGACCCACTGTGGACCCTTCCAACCTGACCCATTCTGTGATTCTGTGAATTGTTTACTCCACTCAGTTCAGAGGGGAACATTTATGAGCTATGTACTTGCTAGCCTTAAATCTCCTAGCTTTTGGTTGACAACAAACAGAAAACTGATGAAACCAATTTAATAAGAAATAAAATTTAATTTACTTGGTAGAAATTCCATTGAAATTTAAGCTTTCAGTGATAGGTTCCTTTGGTGATAAAATTTTATAATGAAAAGTTACAACAGTTTATTTTTCCTTCAAATATGTTGCTTATGAGAAGTCACAGGCTTGATAAAGAAATTAGTGCACTTCGTAGATGATCAAAACGAATGATCCTAATGTATGCTCTGACTTAAAAATCTATTAAATGAACAGAAGAGCAATGCATAGAAATGACAAATAGCCAAATAATTGTTCATTCTTATGCTGCATAGAGGTTGTATACTTTTATTTAGTTGGGTCATGTCTGTTTTGTAGTGACTATTATATTTTATGTGTAAGTAGTATATTTATCTAAGGGCATAGGAAGTGAAGCAAAGCTTTTAGTCTGATCCTTGAATTTGTTTGCAAAGGATTCTGATCATATCCTTAGTTAAGAGGTTTATAAATCAGCAGGTATGAATTGAAATCCTTCCTCTTCTAGTTTCACTTCTGTATTTCACGTTTTGCTCTTCTTACTTAACATATATAACAAATCACAATGCAGAGAAATAGTAGCAAAAGTACTAGTTGGCAGTTGACAAAATTCCCTATTATTAGTGTATGTGTCAGGTAATCTCAACATTTTTGTGAAACTTTAATCTTATGGTTAATAAATATAATATCATTTGAAAAGTGTTTCTCAACAAGGTGATAGACACAAAATTATTTCTGTGGAAGTTAACTCCTCATGTATAAATTATGTCAAAGGTATGAGTATGGAGATGAATTTAGCAATGGCAGAATTAAGAACATTTTTCAGTACATCACAGTATTTTGAGTCTATTTATTGGTCTTTCTGAAAATTATGCTATATATGATGAGGCCATCAGGAGACTAAGGTCTTTTTGCCCCATATGCATAAAATCCTGGGTATTTACCATTTGGTTAATATGTCACACCAACTTTAACTGGGACCCACATTTTATCCAAGATGCTAGTTAAAAACTTCATCATTTCTTCCATTAATATATTCCTGTGCTGTCAGACACGGTAGAAAAGTGCTGTTATCAGAGTACATTAGTGTGGTTGGGAAATCAAAAACCATAATAAGCTTTCCAAGTATGGCTGTTTATTCAGCATTGAAATCTTGGCAGGCAATATTAGCTTTTTTTTTTTTCCTTCCTATTGTTCTACTTTTTCATTAGAATAAGAAAAAGAAGCTGTGTCTCTGAAATGAATACAGATTGATTACAATTTTAAACTTCTGTTGACATACTGTCAGGGAAAATTGTAATGCTGTCTGTCAGGTGACTGATTTCTGTTGGCTTGTTTGTTTTTAAGCACTACCATGTTTGTATTTAAGCACTACCATGTTTGTATCTGCTCTGACCAGAATGAGTTAGCTCTTGGTTGAAGTCTCATGAGTTTATTAAGTCTTCAGTCATGAGCACTTTCAAAAATCTAACTTGGTACAATAATAAATGATAATTTTTATTCAATATCTGCCCATGGAGTATGCATACAATGAAGACAGACTTTTCAAATGTCCTAACAGAAACCTACCACTGCTGAAATTTTGCTCAGATCTTATTTCTGAAGTGGGGAGGAGGATCTCCTTTGAATATTCACTGTTTGAATTCTGCCAGGAAGTTCCACTGCAGTTAATGAAAAATTTTAATGAGAATAAGAAAGACATAGGTAATGTAGGCCTATTAACTGTGAAAGCTTGAAACATTTTCCCTTCAATTACCTTCAGTTATAATTTTCTTGATAAACTGAGCACCCTCCAATAGCTACACTATGGTGAGTAAGGTGGTCTCCTGGGAAAAGGATGATATAGATTCAAGTCATCTTGGGTGCAAAAGGGAAATAAACACAGCTCTCCCACAGCTGGCTGTTGTCAGTAGAAATCTAATGAGCAACTCTTTCCTCTTTAACTGCCTTATAAACAACATAGAGGTCAAGATCCTTTTTCACTTATGTTAGAGACGTGCAAATAAAATTGTAGTTTTTCTCAGGGCTAAAGAAATTGTATTTGATGGGAAATAAAAGAAATATGCCTATATATAACTTTTTTATTTGTATTTTTTTTCTGATGTTGGCAGCAATGAAACTGTCCATATGAAATAAATGACATTTGCCTGTCTTTTTTCATTTACTACTTTTCTGAAATTGGAAACATAATTTTTAGTGTTAACCATTCCATATGAGAGAAACAAAGCTGTTATAACATGACCTTTTAATTCTCCACTACAGGATGACAGCTTGCTGCATCCATATATAAGTTCATTAATCATTTTGATCTCATTCTGTGTCTCTTGAAATGAAAATAAGTTCTAATTGTTGCATTCCAGAGTATAGGCAATTGAAAGCATGTAGACGAAAACACAAACTGCTTTTCTGAAGTTTTGTGTGTACTTAAATATGGACCACATAATTTCTAATGTGTATAAGCCAGCCCTCCATCTGCAGCAATACATGATGCTATGTACTCCTGTACAAAGGAGTCTTCATCTGTTTAGAGTGTACAGTTCATGATTATTTTGTTTACATTTCCAGGCATCAGCATCCCTCCAGTATTTCAGATCCAGTATGAAAATGGCTGTATTCAGTTGTATTTATCTTTTGCTATTCCAGTTTTTTTTTATAGACCATTTTTCTACTGCTTTTGTATTTGTGAATTACTGGCATTTCTTCCCATGTGTTAAAACCTTTATTTGGTAAATGTGTAGCAGCACTGTGGTATTGTGTACACCTTTCCTGTTGTTTCATATACCTTACCTAAGCAGCTGGGGAGTATTGATGAGCTCTTTTCTTTTTCTAGGATAATTCTGCTTGTCCTGCATGGCTTTTCCATGGCATGCTTCTTTGCTTTGAACCATGCCTCATTCTGGATTTAAGTTTTGCTCTCAAAATTGAATCTGTGTCAACTGACTCTTCTAATTTTTTTTGGCCAAGGATTTGCCTGGCACGCACTCATATGTTCAGTAGGAAACTACTTCTAAACAGCTTACATTTATTGTCTTGTCCTTAGTTTTACCTGTTGAGTGAATGTGAGCTCTCTGATGTGCCTGTGGCACCAACTTCATTAGCCTTTCCCGTGAAACTGAAGGAAGTTTTGCTTATATCATTCAATGAAACAATATTTTTTTCATGTGTTTTTTCCTAGTAATATTCACTTTGGTCAATGGATGATCAAAGTTTGTAGGGCTCCCATCCAGCTTTATTAAGCTAGAGGCAGAACTATGGGCCAAATTATTATATGGATCTGTAGTTGGAGTATAGAATTATCTGATAAAATTAATGATTTCTTCCATCTGAGGAAAAAATGTACTAATACTTATTAAAATACTGACAGACTGGAAACCTAGCGCTCTTTTCCAAACAAGATGCTGTATATCAGAATGAGGGTTAATTGCATGGACTTTATACTGGCTAGTTGTGAAATCAGATTTATTCCATCTGGTGCATGTCAGTCAATCCTTAATTGTTGTGCAATTATATCTAATCATCTCAAATGGAGTACGTTAAGCTCAGAACCAATGCTAATTTGTTTTAATAGAGATGTTATGGTGTATGCTTGGGCTTGTGTGTTTTTCTTTAACGTGAAATGAGAGCATTGGTTGAAATTACATTAACAATATGAAAGAAAAAGTGATTCTCTTTCTAACTTGTGCTGATGCAAGTGAGAAAACAGAGACCATTATTTTGGTTTAATTATCATCATAATTAGCTCCATAGAATTACCCACTCCAAAAAGCTCAGGGGCAAAGTTGGCAGCATCCATAAAACCTATATGGAAAATCAATAGATGGAGGATAAAGGACTTCCTTAGTCTAAGTAGAGGATAGGTCATTGTGCATCTACTCACATGCAAGTGACTTTAATGTGGAGGAAGGGTTTTTTAATA